TGTTTGCCATATTCCTTGTCAGGCAATGACATCACTGTCAATACTCACACCTTCCAGAATATTCACTTCTAATCTCCATCCTCCTTGCTTTACACCACCCCTCTCTTTTACACCTGCATCCATCTAATTTCCTGCTTCAAATATGCCATCATTTAGGGCAGCATTTCTCAAACTATTTTGATCTCCATGGGTTAATCAAAACACCTTTTTTTGAGTCAGAGTCTCACTCTTTTGCCCAGGCTGGAGTGCAGTGGCACGATCACAGTTCACCTCAGCCTTGACTTTCTGGGCTCAGGCAATCCTTCTACCTCAGCCTCCCAAGTAGCTGGGACTATTGGTGTGTGTCACCACATCTGGCTAATTTTTTGTTGTTGTTGTTGTAAATATGAGGTCCCATTCTATTACCCAAACTGGTCTCATTTTTTTTTTAAGAGACAAAGTCTCACTATGTTGCCCAAGCTGGTCTTGTACTCCTGGGTTCAAGCAATCCTCAAGGCTCAGCCGATCTAAGTTCTGGGATTACAGGCATGAGCCACTAGGCCCAGTTGGGGGAAAAAATACACTTTATATCATGACCCACATGCATGTAAATATAAATCGCCTAAACAAAGTATTCACAAAATCATAGCTGCTTTTACTACTTATAATGTACACTGATATATTCTGCTTACTTTTAAAAAATACTTGTATAGATCCACTAGGTTGATTTCACCTCCTTAGTGAGTCTTGACCAGCAGTTTGAAAATAAACACAGTGTGGTCCTCAAACCAGCAGCATCAGCATCACCGGAAGACAATGAGAAATGCAGGCTCTCGGGCCCCATCCCAGATCCACTGAATCAGAATCTCTACTTCAACAAGGTTCCCAGGAGATTCGTGTGCACATTAAAATCTGAGAAGTCCTGGTCTAGGAAACCAGAAAGCCGCAATTGTTCATCTATTAAGTGAGGTTCCTGGGAACTCTCTCACGTGAGCATGAGCACATAAAGCCTGTCCGAGCTCCCCAAAGACCGTTTTTTCTTGCTTACAACTCCAGGGAGTTGCAGAGAGGTGTCATCCCTTTCCCTGTAATTCTGAATAAAGAAGATGGCACTATATGCCTCTTCCCATAGGTTATTCACAACCAGAAGCTTGAAAGTCAATTTCTAAACATGGAGACGTCTCAGTTCCTCTGCAGGCGAAGTGGGAAGTTCCCAGGCCTCTCCTCCGGGGAATAAGCTCCAGGAAAATGAAGAGACTCAGCACCAAGAACTAGGAGTCCTGGGTTTGAAGGTTAGTCTGGCCATTAGCACCACAGATGACTCTTCCTTTCCCTGAGTCTTGGCTTCTCTGTCATTGAATTAGGTCATGCTGGTGACCAACTCTGAACTGCTTCTTCTCAATAGTCCCCTGAGTCATCCCTTGAGGATGCATGACCTCCTCCTAGACTCACTCCCCTGTGACCTCAGCCCAGTTCTGCAAGACTGCCAGCTGTCTCTGCCCTGCAGCTGCATCCCTTCATAACTCTGACTCACTCTGGCCTCGGGCAGATCCTCAGGTCTACAGTCCAGGGCCAGGGAGTGAGAACTCTGCTTTCCCCATTTGCATCCAGGGGAACAAAGAGGTGAAGCTCCTTTTGTGGGGGCTCCTTTCATGCTGGAGCCCCCACGAATCCCACTCCTCCATTCCAGCCCACCGCCTGTCACTTGCTACAACCCTAGACATCACAGCTGTCCTCGGGTGGACTTTCCGTTGCTCGACAGCACAACTTTGTCAGGCAGATGAACACAGAAAAACGAGCTCCCCAGGAAAATAGTTGGCGGGCCCCTCTTGGCGTCAGCTCCCAAAGCAAAGCAAGGTTTGTTGTGTGTGTTCACCTCCGGCTGAAGCAAATTAGTTCCATCAGAATGGAAGCTGGAGGTGGAGGAGGGAATGGAGTGGATGACGAGGAATAAAGGTCAGAGATGGAAATCCAGTTTCCAGAAATGTGGGGAAAGAGGGCTGATGCTACCCCAGCCAATCTGAAGAGACAAACCCTCATTTGGGGTCAGCCTTTTGCTTATTTGGGATGTTGTTGACAGGAAAATGAGTCACTTGGCATCCCCTGTCTTTTAAGACTGTTAACTATTTATTTAAGGGCCAGAATTGTGTTGCCTGAAGACTTTCAGAAGTTCCCATGATATGAGTCATGGAATCTAAGATGACAGGCTTAGAAGTCACTACGGGGCCCTGCCCTCAGCCCTCAGCTCTCACCTCTACAACTCTGAAGGCTACCTGGGGGCGCTTTTCTGGTTGCAGGGTCCCCTCAGCCAGGGTCCAGGGTAATTTGAAAATGCTGGGGAGTCGGTACCCCTGGAAACAACACTCATCCCATCATGGATGGGAAGTGAGTGGACAAAGCCGTTTCCTTATCCACTGGCTGGGATTACTAAGGATGTGCCCTACGCTGTCCCCAAAGAGCCCCACTAGCCCAAGAGAACACTTGGGATTCCTTTCTCTTCTGTCTTCCCCCACCTCCCCCCATTCATCGCCAGTATTTCAGAGTCTGGGGAAATCTAACCCAAGGCAATAGGGCAGCATTTCTCAAACCATTTTGACCACAACGCATGGTTTAATCAAAACGCCTCAGGAGTTTTCATCTAGGGGAAAATAGGCCACCATGACCTGGACCCTGAGTGGTGCCACCAAAGAACAGGCTGCCACAAGAGGAGACCTGGTGACCATCTCAGAGGGGTTCACTGAAGGGGTTCTGCATTGGTTGGAGGACTTCATGTCCCTGATGAAGACCCCTAGTCATTCATTCAACAAATATTTAGTGAGCTTCTGAACTCGGGACGTTTGGTCTTATGGAAATATGATTTCCCAGTGCTCCGAGGAGAGTTATGGGTCTTGTGGTTTGAACTTCATTATTAGAAAGTGTCTCTCAGAAGCAGTGTTAACATTTCTATTCTTATGTCTTTAATTTATAGATAAGTGTGTATCCTAAAATCAGATCAAAGTTGTTCTTTTTTTTTAACCAAGGTTCAGAGAAAACAAGAACTCCAGACATCTTTTCTCAAAGCGTCTTAAAGTGCAATCATGGTGGGCCTATCCTAGCTTTAAACTCCTCCGTCTGTCCGATTCTTACCCACCCCTTGACCCAGATCTGACTCTATCATCAACTTCCAGGCTCATCTTCAACCTCAGCACCCTCCTCCCATCTCCCCAGTGAACATGCAGTTGGTTCTCCGTGACAAACACGTGAACAAAGAAAAATGTACTCTTCTGAAAATTAAAAGGCTTGCATATTCGTATTTACCAAGGTGATGACTAAATTTTCTAAGCGCTCACTTCTCCTCCTGTACCCTCTCACCTAGTAACCTTGAACTAGAGGTTGGAAGGGAGGAAACCAAAAGTTACGTGACCTTGGGCAGAACACAGCCTCCTGGGACTTCGTTTCCTTATTTGGGAGATAAGTGAGTTACCTGATGCAACAACTAGGGTCTCTACCAGCGTGGACATTCTAGGGCTTGATGACTGGGAGGAATTGAAGCCACAGAGGGTTCCTGTAGAGCTGCCCTCCCCACCCCAACTAGTGCTGCCACTTCCCTCCATTGCTGTCCTGTGGCACCAGTGCCACCTCCATGCTGAGCTCCCTCCAGAGCCTGCTCCTGGGTGAGTCTGTGGATCGGTCCCACCTTCCCTCTAATCATGGAAAGACGAGCTCTGCTCCCCACTAAAACAATGCCAGGTCATGGATGGCAGAGGTCTGTAGGGGCCAGCTGGCTCTTCCTAAGGCCTGTGAAGTCACAACCCACATTGTGCTCAGCACTCAGCTCAGTCCTGTTAGCTCAAAAAGTAGGTTGTGGCCAGGAAATCAAAAAGGTGTGAAATCAATAAAGCAGGGTTCCAGCCACTGGGCCAGCCGGTTAGGAAGTGGTCTCACATAGCCAGGTGTGGTAGCACACGCCTGTAGTTCCAGCTACTTGGAAGGCTGAGGTGGAAGAATCGCTGGAGACCAGCAGGTTGACGGTGGGGTGGTTGTGAGCATGCCACTGCATTCCAGCCTAGGCAACAAAGTGAGACTTCAACTCAAAAAAGAAAAAGAAAAAGGAAGTGGCCTCACAAGGCAGCTCAGATGTGCCTACTCACCACTGTCCCCAAACCCCCTGCCCAGATCAAAGATCCCAGCCTGCAGTCAGCCAGCTGCCAAGCTAATGATTTCTACAGCTTAAGAAGCACAGTTTAGACCCACCTGGGCAGGCAAGACCTCTTCTCTACAGTAAATCAAAAAATCAGCCGGGCGTGGTAGCGCACGCCTGTAGTTCCAGCTACTTGAAAGGCTGAGGCAGAAGGATCGC